CGCTTGAGCCCAGAAGGTGGAGGTTGCAGTGAGCCAAGATCACACCACTGCATTCCAGCCTAGGCAACAGAGTGAGACTCTATCTCAAAAACAAACAAACAAACAAAAAACAAAAAACAAAAAAAAAAAAGAAAGAAAGAAAGAAAAAGAAATAACTCTTTCTTATGGCAGAATTCCGATTAGATAAATGTAGAAGGAACAATGGAAGTAGAAAATCACTATTTGTCCAATACCACAGTAATAATTCTTTGTAGGAAACAATCATCCATAGATTCTAAAAATTAATGTTAAAAGTATGATGGGCCGGGCGCGGTGGCTCAAGCCTGTAATCCCAGCACTTTGGGAGGCCGAGACGGGCGGATCACGGTTTCTCAAGATAACATAACAATATTTTGGGGCCACAGTTGGCGGGTAACTGAAACTGCGATTAAGTGGGGACTACTGTACATGAGTGTGCGTGTGTGTTATTTCCCAGCTCTGACCACTAGAGGACCTAGAAGCACCAGCACCTACTAGCAGTGGGCCTATCAGTCAGTGCCCATGGTCTGTAAATATCATTCTCCCATGAAAGGAACTAGGGCTTCCAGGAAAAATAGCTGATCCAGGGCTGGGACAGAAGAACACAAGAGGAGCCCGAAGCTTCTTGTGGTGTCAGAAACGAAGGAACTGCTCAAAAAATGATGGAGACATGTCTAAAGGTCATAGAAGCCAACTGGAAGGAGTTCCCAGTGGCCAATTTTGGGACAATATGAGCAACATAATAAATAATGATAGTAATGGATTCCAACCCATAAATACTCATGAGTCCATGCTGATATAAATAAATAACTGAACAAATAAATAAGGAAGAAAAGGCTGGGCATGGTGACTCACGCCTGTAATCCCAGCACTTTGGGAGGTGGAAGTGGGGGAATCACTTGAGGCCAGGAATTAGACACCAGCCTGGCTAACATGACAAAACCCCGTCTCTACTAATACAAAAATTAGCCGGGTGTGGTGGTGTGTGCCTGTAGTCTCAGCTACTCAGGAGGCTGAGGTGGGAGGATCGCTTGAGCCCAGAAGGTGGAGGTTGCAGTGAGCCAAGTCACACATACGCTAGACATAGGCACACCGCAGCTGAGATCTAATCTAAAAACACAAACAAACAAAACAAACAAAAAAAGACCAAGAGAACAGATAAACTCATTATCATATGGACAGATTCCGATTAGATACAATGGTAGAAGGAACATGGAAGTCAGAAAATCACTATTTGTCCATTACCCCACAGTAATAACGTTCCTTCGTAGGAAACAATCATCCACTAGATTCTAAAAAATCAATGTTAAAAGTAATAGAACACACGCGAGAGACAGCAAAGGGCACAGCCTAGTATATCCACAGAGAGGACACAGGGAGGAGAGGAGCAGGAACACCAAGTACAGGAATTCGACGACCCATACAACAATAAGCCCGTTAACTATCAGGATACAGAACCCCGTCTTACTACAAAAGTACAAAAAACTAGCCAGGCGAGGTGGCGGGCGCCTGTAGTCCCAGCTACTTGGGAGGCTGAGGCAGGAGAATGGCGTGAACTTGGGAGGCGGAGCTTGCAGTGAGCTGAGATCTGACCACTGCACTCCAGCCTGGGCGACAGAGCGAGACTCCGTCTCAAAAAAAAAAAAAATAAAAGTATGATGATGCTGTTAACTGGTGAACAACAAGAAAAAGAAGTATGATGAGAAGAAACAGGCTGTTTACATATTTCCAAAGTGTTTCTCCGCAAGATACTTATTAATTACAATGAGACGAATAGTAACCTTACAGTAGAGAAACCTGGCAGACACCACCTGAACCAAGTGCTTAAAGTGAACCCCATCAGTAATGAGAGATACCGACATCCTGGGGCTCTTGCTGGGATGTCCAGAGAAGGATACATCACTTCTGAAGTATTCTTGCCTAAAATGTGTAGCCGGAAATATCAGACAAACCCATATTCAGGGAGCATTCTACAGAACAACTGGCTAGTACTCTTCAAAAGTGTCAAGGTCCTGAAAGAGAGGGAAAGACTGAGAAACTATCCCAGGTTGGAGGAGACTTAGGAGATCTGACATTTTATTCAGTGGGATCCCGAATTGGAGTCTGGAGCAGAAAAAGGACATGAGTGGGACGATTAGCAAGATTTGAACATTTGTAGATTAGTTAATATTATGGTATCAATGCTAATCTCCTGGTTTTAATAATTGTATTATGGTTACATAAGATATTGTTTGAAAATTGGATGAAGGCTATACTGGAACTCTATTTTATAATATTTTTCAAAGTCTGAAAAATGAAAAGTAAGAAAAAGTAAGAAATGCATTAGATTTGTGAGGACAAATGAGATAATAAGTGTGAAGTGCTTAGAACAATGCTTGTGATATAGGAGTTCTTAATGTGTCTGATATAAGTAATTTTATAATTAGATAATATTACAATTAATGAATCTGTTATTATAAGTAATTTATTTCCTAATGACCTCATATATTCTCACTTATTTTTATTTCCCTTAACCCTGTGAAAAGCATATTGAGCATGTATGTGATTAAGAGATAAAATAAGATTAGACTTTATTCTGAGATTTATTTTGGGGATGGAGGAGCTATTATTTCCTTTAGCCACTAAGTAGCTCAGACTCAGGCCTACATTGCAAAACTTCGCTTGGCTGGGAAACAAGGCTTGAGCCCGGCTGCCACCCCCGCGACGTGGTTTGTGATGGTGCCTCCTGGTGGCGCAGGGAGCTTTCTCCAGTTCCTCACCCTCGTCCTTTAGGAGTGACTTAGAAATTTTACTCAGTCCATTTATTAAACCCTTTCTAGGTCACACTGCGAATCATTTAATCTTCACAAGTGTGTGTGACAAGTGGTATTTTCTTCATTTTAAGATGATAAAACTGAAACTCAAAAAAGTGGGGCGACTTGTCTAGGGTTGCCAAGTGTGTGGCAGAGTCAAGATCTAGGTCCCCCTGACTTCCAGGCTGAGTGTAAAGGTCTAGGTGAGTCTAAAAGTGTGGCCATGCAGAGAACTATTGGTGTAGAGCAGTGGTTGTTGACCAAGGGTGGATCCCCCTCCGGGGACATTTGGCGATGTCTGGAGATATTTTTGGCTTCCATAATGGGTTTGGATGAGGGAGAGGGGAGGCTGCTATTGGCGTGTAGTGGAGAGACGCCACGCGGATGCTGCTGAACATCTCACAGTGCACAGAACAGCCCCCACTGCAAGGAACTGTTTAGCCCGAATGTCAGTAGAGCTGCTGTGAAGCCCTGGTTTGATTTAGAAATCTGATGATGCATTCTTGAGGTTATCTAATGTTCGCTGAGTACTGAGCTGAATAGCGTGAGGGATATGGAAACAGTGCACCAGTCCGTGCCACCAAGTAGTTTGCAGCCGACGCAGGGGGTAGAGGCAGGAAAGGCACATGAGGCCCGTCAATATAAGGCAGCAGATGATAAGTGCAAGAAGAGAGTGTCCAGCAGGGCTAAGCTGGCTCTCAGGAGGGAGACCACATGTCTGCCTGTGGGAGGAACTGAAGGAAGCTGTGGAAGGTGGTTTTGAGTTGAGTGTCTGAGCAAAGTTGAGCTGATGGGAAAACACAATACGTGTTCAGTGAAGAGCAAACAGGTTAGTTTGGGTGGAGAATAGTATTTTTTAGTGAGTAAAGGGAGGTACACTGGAAAAACAGGTTGGGGCTAGAGCTTTGAGTTCAGGCAGAGGACTGTAGCGTGGGTGTCTGTCATAGTGATGGAAAAGTCTTCCCTTTTGGAATAGTGGTCTAGGCCCTAGGGCTATGGGGCTTAGCAGCTTCCAGAGCACTCTCACTACAAAGGAAGAGATGTTGGAAATTGGAGTGGAGAAGGGAGAATGCCTCCTGATTTTAGGACCAAGTTGGTGCTGAGTATGCAGCAAAGCCATTTCACCTCAAAGTGGCCTTTGGGGAGATGGTGCTCACAAGCAGAAATATACATGGGGGTCAGGTCTGTTCTTCGTGGTTGCTCTGTGAAGGGCTGGGCCACTTTATAGTGAAAGCTGGAGCAGATTTGCAACCCTTAAGCTAAGGTCTGCTTCCCAAAATGTGAGCTGCTACAGCAGGGCTTGCTACGAATAAAGCTTCAAATATGGACACTACCTGGTGACAGGCTTTTTCTAGTTTATTTCATTACCAGTAAATAGCATTAAGACATGTTGGTGGCATTCCGGTGCACTGTAAAGAATATAAGCAAGGACTTCCTGATCTTCTATAAAGGTACCATTGCCTTCAACACCCTCCCACCACCATCATTAAGTTTAGCCATGATAATTATGTTACTTTTTTGGAAAAGGGTTGGGGGAGAAGACATGGGAGCAAATCTTTGTTGAGCTAGTATATATATACATACATACATACCTGTGTGTGTGAGGAGCATCAGCTACAATTACAGATATTTTCTTTTTTTTTTCTTTTTTATTTTTGAGACGGAGTCTCGCTCTGTAACTCAGGCTGGAGTACAGTGGTACCATTTTGGCTCACTGCAGCCTTTGCCTCCCGGGTTCCAGCAATTCTCCAGGCTCAGCCTCCTGAGTAGCTGGGACTACAGGTGCATGCTACCACGCCTGGCTAATTTTTTGTATTTTTCGTAGAGATGGAGTTTCACCATGTTAGCCAGGAAAGTCTCAATTTCCTGACCTTGTGATCTGCCCGCCTTGGCCTCCCAAAGTGCTGGGATTACAGGCATGAAGCACTGCGCCCGGCCAGTTGCAGATATTTTCACATACAATATGTCATTTAACTCTGTCAACATCGTTTGGGTGTAAGTACAGTTTGCTGTTTTTTGTAAAGGAGGAAACTGGCATTGAGAAAGGCTCACTCACCCCAATACCCCACAGCTAAGAGAAGCTGCATTTTGATGTGTCTGTGGCCTGTTTTGCCACATTTCCTCCCCTCATTTTCCCCTTTATAGACAGTCTTGTTTACCTGGATTCAGGCTGCTAGAGACCATGGACATCAGCATCAATGGCAGCAACAGGAGGAAGGAAGAGATTAGAACTTTCATTGCAACGGTTGGTACAGCTGTTAAGTTGCTTGAAGAGTATAATGGAAGGTTCCCTGTTGGAGGCTGCTGATCTCTGGGGATGACTCAGGTCAGGGTACTCAGCCTGGCGGTCTATGCTTTAGTCCCAGGCCAGCGTTCCCATTTGAGGGCGAGAACAGGTGAGGTGACGCTGTTTTGCTCTTAGGTAACAGATTAGACCATGTGCTTTATGGGAATCTGGGAGGTGAAACTGGTCAAACAAAAGAAATGCAGCATTCTTAAGAACATAAGAAGGTGACTGATAACTTGGCAGCCGTGCCAGTTCTCTCCTGTACTCTTTCCTGCCTCCTCACACCCCAGTGCCTCATGATTTCTTCCTCAAACCTTTTTTTCTTGCTTGGATTTCCTTATACCTTTCAGTGACCCTCTCTATCTGAATATTTGACAGGAAAGTGGCTGCTAAGTGTTGGTAGGCGAGACTTTGACAAGGTCTCTTTCCCCTCCTGCTCCCATCCTTTTAAAAATATCAGCAATAGTAGTGTTGTTGCCTGGGAAGTTGCCCTGTCCTCTCTCTGTTCACAGTTCCCTTCAATTCTGTAGCCACATAAGGTAGCAGCAGAGCAGGATCTGGGACAAGAGGCAGCTCCCCTGCCCAGAACACCGCCCTGGAGCAGTGGGTGACACCAGGCCTCCTTGTGTGTCCATCAGGAAGGTGGCCATGGCTTAGCTGTTCTGGTCTAAAGGAGAGGGAACTGGGTTGGGGGAAGAGACCCCCAGAGCTGCAGGTCCCAGAGGGTTTGAGAAACAGGAGCCACAGAAGGGAAGGAGCCCTGAAGTGTGTTTGCCCAGCTGCTGGGGCGCCTGGCTCCAGCACTTCTTTGGAAATGGCCCCAGGTCAAAGAAGAAAGGTAATAATACTCGAAGTAAACATTAGGGACATAGAATATCAGCACTCTCTAAACTTGACATTTATTTGAGACTTTAGGAAATGTGCGCAAAGGGAGAGGAGAGGCTGGGCTTGAATGCTGGGTGATATTCATGGGGGCTGAAGGGAAGGCAAACAAGGGAGCCCTCCCTGGAAACCTCCAGGCAGGAGTGAGAACAGGGGGTGTGACTTTGTTTCCCTGAGAGGAGGAAAGAGGAAAGGCATGAGTCAAAGCCCTTTGCTTTTGTTTGACCATTCTTTTTTCTCCACGTTTTCAAATTATCTCGGCCTGTTGACTTGTCACAGAGTTGATTGTGGACTTTGCTACTGCAGTGTTTATAAAGCACTGCAGGGGCCAGGGACTGCTAGGACTGAGCCTGTGTCCAAGTTGAAGGCTCAGGCTGGGCCTAAGCTTGTTCTGATGCAAATCACGGATGTGGCTTCTTTCTGGAAAATATAAAAATGGTCTCTGCCTTCAGGAGGCTCAAGTCTAACCAGGGACATGACATCCATTTCATAAAGCCCAGAGGTATGAGTGCAGTCATCTCTCCAAGTGGCAAGAGTGCAGGGGGACTGAGAGGGACTTGGTCGGGTGGAACTTGAGCTGGAGATGGGGGAGGATTTGGGTTGGTGGAGGGCAGAGAGGAGGGTCGTGCAGAGCAGGGGCGTGTTGTAGGAGAGGTGCCCCCTGGAGCAAAAAAAAAAAAAAAGTGTGTGAAAATGCAGCCCATTAGCAGAAAGAAAATGTTACTGAAAAACCATCCCATGTACAAATGGAGCCTGGTGCGGCCACTTGTGCTGCTGAGTTCTGCATCAGTCCACACCGAGGCCACTGCAGGGGCCAGGAGCGCCTCCTCAGACCTTCCTCCGGGTGTCTCAGTCTCTTTACTCACTGTTCTCCCCCAGGTCCTGCTCCCTGTCAGTTCACTCCATCTGGTTTCCCCTCCATGCACTTGGGGTGGGTGTTGCATCCTGTGTCCCATTGGAGGGGGCTTTGGGTCCATTAGGTCTATTAATATAAAACACCCCCAAGACAAATGGACTTTTTTCTTGTTAACATGACAACTTCTTTTTTTTTTTTTTTTTGAGACGAAGTCTCGCTCTGTCGCCCAGGCTGGAGTGCAGTGGCTGGATCTCAGCTCACTGCAAGCTCCGCCTCCCGGGTTTTATGCCATTCTCCTGCCTCAGCCTCCCGAGTAACTGGGACTACACGCGCCCGCCACCTCGCCCGGCTAGTTTTTTGTATTTTTTAGTAGAGACGGGGTTTCACCATGTTAGCCAGGATGGTCTCGATCTCCTGACCTCGTGATCCACCCGTCTCGGCCTCCCAAAGTGCTAGGATTACAGGCTCGAGCCACTGCGCCCGGCCGACAACTTCTTATAACACATCTCAAGAACATTATTTGTATCAAGAGTCTCTCTGATGTACAGAGGCCCTCCCTTCCCCAGGAAGGAGGTAAGGGGAAGTTGGGAGAAAACACCGTCCTGTGTGGGTTACTCATTTCCCTGTTGTACAGTGTACTTGGTAGACGTTCAGAAATATTTGTTGACTTTGACCATGATCCACATGGCTTGCATATAGTCATTTATTCACACATATATTCAGTGAGGCTTTGAGTGCCTAGTGTGTGCCTGGTATTTGCTAGACAGTGGATGCTGAGATCAGGTGTGCTGCTGCCTCTGAGGAGCTCTCACTATACAGCTGCACCTAGGGTGACTGAATCCACCTGCCCCACTTTACAGACGTGGAAATTAAAGTTCAGGGAAATTATAGGATTAGTTCAACAACACAGTCACTAACCTCAAAGTTAAGGGAGTAAATCAAGTTTCCTGACTTGCTGGATTTTCTGTTAGTGTACAGCCACCTGGCTGCTGCAGGTGCAGATGTGGTGAGCTCCAATAGGAGAGAGGACGTTCAGAGTGAAGTGGGAGTCCTGAGCACCCTGGATTAGCCAGGAGGACATGTCGGGTTGAGCTGTGACCACACAAAGGACCATCAAGGAAATTTGCATTCTCTTTTTCACTTTGAGCTTGAAATGAAGAAAACTGATCCCAGGAAACCAAGAGTGGAAGATTACTCACAGGGGATTAGTGAGGTGAGTCAAAAAGCCTGTGTTGGATGGGTGCCTGTAATCCCAGCACTTTGGGAGGCTGAGGTGGGAGGATGGCTTGGGCCCAGGAGTTTGAGACCAGTGTGGGCAACATGGTGAGACCCTGTCTCTATAAAAAGTTTTTTTTTTTTTTTTAAAAAAAGAAAACCCTTTTCTGATGTCTGTCACGGTGTTTCTCACTGAATGGTAATGGTCTGACTTTGAGTGGGTTCTGTCCATAGCCTGGAGCTCTGTGAGGCAGGACCAGGTGTGATTTCACCTTTGTCTCTCCAGTGACAGTACACAGCAGGCTCCGATAAATATTTCTTACAAAATAAAACTGAATAAAAAGTAGACACCTGCACACATGTGGGATGATTGAGCAGCAGTAGAAGCAGGGAAAGTCAGCGTCCCCAGATCAACTGATGTGGTGTTCAGCTTCTAGATAGGCGTGAGGTGCCAGGATGGGGATGGGGGTCCTGTGGCTTTACTGCTCTGGGGACCACCCCGAGGATTCGGAGTGTCAGCTGTGGTTGCTGTACTTCACTTACCTGTGGGAAAGTGAGCAGAGGGTGTGGGGCTTCAGGTGAACCCACATGGGAAATGGCTGAGGGAAGACGGGGTAGGTGGCACATAGAGGTTGTTTTTTATTTTTTTATTTTTATTTTTGAGAAGAAGTTTCATTCTTGTTGCCCAGGCTGGAGTGCAATGGCACAATTTTGGCTCACTGCAACCTCCGCTTCCTGGGTCCAAGCGATTCTCCTGCTTCAGCCTCCCGAGTAGCTGGGATTACAGGCATGCACCACCATGCCTGGCTATTTGTTTTTTTTTTGTGTGTGTGTTTTTAGTAGAGACAGGGTTTCTCCATGTTGGTTAGGCTGGTCTCCAACTCCCGACCTCAGGTGATCCGCCCACCTTGGCCTCCCAAAGTGCTGGGATTACAGGTGTGAGCCACCGTGCCCAGCTGAGGTTGTTTACCAATATTTGAAGGTCGGTTGTATGAAAAAGTGTTAGACTTGGCCGGACGTGGTGGCTCATGCCTGTAGTCTCAACACTTTGGGAGGCAGAGGCAGGCAGACCACCTGAGGTCAGGAGTTTGAGACCAGCCTGGCCAACATGGCGAAACCATGTCTCTACTAAAAATACAAAAATTAGCTGGGTGCAGTAGCAGGCACCTGTAATCCCAGCTGCTCGGGAGGCTGAGGCAGGAAAATTGCTTGAACCCAGGACGGGGAGGTTGCATTGAGCCGAGATCGCGCCACCGCACTCCATCCTGGGCGATAGAGCCAGACTCTGTCTCAAACAAAAAAAAAAAAAAAAGGAAAAGAAAAAATGTTAGTGTCATGCGTGTCCATGTGAAGAGACCACCAAGCAGGCTTTGTGTGAACAATAAAGCTTTTAATCACCCGGGTGCAGGTGGGCTGAGTCCAAAAAGAGAGTCAGTGAAGGGAGTTAGGGATGGGGCGGTTTTATAGGACTGGGGTAAGCAGTGGAAAGTTAGAGTTAAAGGGGGTTTTTCTCTTGCAGGCAGGGGCAGGGGTCACAAGGTGCATGGTGGGGAGATCATAAGACTCATTGTCCAGAAGAAGAATGTCACGAGGTTGATCGATCAATCAGCTGGGACAGGGCAGGAACAAGACATAATAGAATGTGGTAAGGTTGGTCAATCGGTTAAGACAGGAGCTGGCTGTTTTCCTTCTTTTGTACTTTTCGGTTGCCTCAGGACATCTGGATGTATACATGCAGGCTTGGGCTCAGAGGCCTTACATTCCTGTCTTCTTATATTAATAAGAAAAATAAAATAGTGTTGAAGTGTTGGGGCAGCGAAAACAATTTTTTTTGGGTGATATGGAGAGATAATGGGTGATGTTTCTCAGGGCTGCTTCGAGTGGGATTAGGGGCTGCGTGGACACCTTAAAGAAAATTTTATAATGGGTTACATGGAATAGAAGTTTAGGCTGTGGGGAGATCTTGGGCAGAGGATGGTACTGTGGGGTTGTTAAAAGTAGCATATGGAATGATCGGTGATGGTCTGAATGCGGTTTTGTATGAATTGAGAAACCAAACGGAAGACACAAGGCCCGAATAAGAGAAGGAGAAAAACAGGTACCAGAGGACTAAGAATTGGGAGGACCCAGGATGTCCAATTAGAGAATGCCCAAGGGGGTTCAGCGTAATTACTTGCTTGGTTGGTGAGTTTTTGAGCTCTATCCTTGAGTTTTTTTTATGTTGTCATATACCAGGCCAGATTGATTTAGGTAAAAGCAACACTCTTCATTTAAAAATATACAGAGTCCTCCTTTTTCAGCAGTGAGTAAGTCAAGGCCTCAGCGGTTTTGGAGGACAACTGCAGCTAAAGAGTCAACCTGGGCCTGAAGGACTCACAGAGTTTGTGCTATGTCTGCGATGCTAGCAGAGAAGTCATTAGAGAGGCTATGGAAGGTCGTGACAGAGGTTGAAATGCCTGCTATTCCAGTTCTGAGCGCAATAGTGGAGGCAGAAAGTCCTAAACCGATAAGTAAGGGAATTAGTGGAATAACCTTTTTTTTTTCTGTCGTGTCAGTGTCATGAGGGGAACAGGAAGCTTTTTGGTCCCATTGGCAAATAGAATTTTGGGAGTAAGGAAAACTAGTGTGCATGTGCCTGTCCAATTAGCAGGTAGACACATGTAGGTAGAGGATCCACAGAGGAAGAAGAGACCTTGTGCAAGGCAAAACTGGAAATGCAAAGTAAAGAGATGAGAAGGAATACTAGAAGAAGTGTCTTGTACTCAGACTCCTAGGGATCCAGCTAGGGCGGCAGCCGTCAGAGGTTGTAATGGGGACTGATGGGGTAACTGCATAGAGGGGGAGGTTCGATTTTCATGGCGTATGAGAAAGCGTTGGGTATCTACGAGCAAACTTTAACTGTTATTTACGGGGCTGGGTATAAGCAAACAAGAGGGAGGACAGTCCGATGAGCAAGGGGAAGGTAGCCAAGGATGGAGTGAAATACAGGATAAGTGTCTTCCTAAGCAATAATAACTGCTAATGTTTTTAAGTTTGCCAGTATTCATAGAGCGCTTATCTGTAATACAGAGCTGGAAGGCCCCAATTGTTTCAGTGATATGTGTAGTTGGGCTTTGGAGATGAAGAGTGAAGGAACATCGAGAAGATGAAAGGTTACCTAGGGGAATTCCAGTGGGTCTTTGCCAAGAGATACATAAAGGAGTGGCCACAGGAATAGTAGTTTGTATTGTGAGGGGTCCAAATATGGGGTGAGTAGAGTTAATATAAGGAGAAAGGTTTTTTAAGTAAGTGCAGAGAAGGGTGGCAGCTTGCTGATGTGAAATGTCTAGGGAGGTCTTGCTGGACCTGTCTAGAAAGTAAAGAAGTTCTTCAGGAGGGCTAAGGTGAAGGCTGTTAAAGGAAGTTCGGAGGTGTAGGGAGACAGGAGGTGTTGCTTAGTCTGTGTGTGAGGTGGGGACAGCTGTGTAGGCACAGGAAGAAAGGGAAATGCAAAGCCAGCAGTTGTTCTCTAAGGAAGGATTAGAGACGGCTAGGAGAGAGTGAGTGAAATTGATAGTGTGGTAGAGATAGCTGGGGAGAGGTAGAGGGTGGCATAAGAATGAGAATGAGAATAAGAGTGAGCATAAAAGTAAAGAATAGAACTTCATCGGGGTGGAAGTACTGGAGGGTGCCCTGCCAGCAAAGATCATCTATCCACTCTAAGAAGGAGTTAAGAGTGGTGATTTGGGTATAGCACCAGGAGATATCAGCGTGCTGGTTTGGAGAAACAGTGTAAACCGGCAGTGTAAACAAGAGCAAGGCATTTATGAGTAGTTGAGAATGGTGAATAGGAGTATGACTAGACAAAAGATAGTAGGGATGACAAGTTTTTGGAGGCTCAGTCCAAGTAGTGGGGGTGACTGCGTAAAGCCCTGTTGCAAAAAGCAGGGTAAGGATGAATAGACCTAATAGGAT